CCTTTGCACTTGCACAGTGCATACAATCCACCACCCACTCTGACGATAATATCCTTGATCTTGTCTTCTCCAACCACTGCGCTCCCCACAACCTCACTAACACCCCCTTCCCTCTCTCTGACCACAACCTGATCACCTTCTCTATCTCCTCGTCCTCCAACGCCTACCCCTCCAAATGTCACACTACTACCAGTCGTAACCTCCGCAACCTTAACCCTGCCCCCCTCCACTCTGCAGCTGATCAACTCCACGACTGCATCCTCCCCCTGTCCTGCCCCGACTTGGCTATGACTGCCTACAACAACGCGCTGTCAACAGTCCTTGACTCACTAGCGCCTTTAACCACACGCAACATCAGACCCCGACCACTCCAGCCCTGGCAGACTGATCACACCAAAACCCTCAAATGACACAGTCATGCCCTGGAGCGACTATGGCGCAAAACCAAATCCCAACAAGCCTTCACCCGCTACAAATCTGCCTTCCACACCTACACCTCCTCCCTCCACGCAGCCAAACAAAGCCTACTTCCTGACCCTCATCAAGGCCCTCTCCTCCAATCCTCGCCGACTCTTCTCCACCTTCAACTCTCTACTCTCGCCACCGCCCCACCCCCACCCCACACCTCACTCACTCACCGCCCTTGAGATTGCCAATCACTTCAAAAACAAGATTGACACAATTCGCAAGGACATCGCCGCAACTCACACGCCCTCTCAACCCGTCCCCTCTCACACAGCTACCCCCTCATCCCCCCCTCCCCCTCAACATAACCCACAGGGACTTCGTCGCTGCTCAAACTCCCTCCAACCCCATTCCCCCTCACTCAGCTACCCCCTCATCACCCCTCTCCCACGGCCCCACCACTGCTCTGACCTCCATTTCCACCCCACCCTACATTCCTCATACTGAAGCTCCCCCAACACTCCGCACCTTTGACCTTACTACCATCGAGGAAGTCTCCAAGATCCTCTCTGATGCCCGCCTCACCACCTGCCCCCCACGACCCTATCCCCTCACAACTCCTACGACCTCCCTCCCCCTCCATCCTACGCTCCCTCACCCACATCTTCAATCTCTCCCTCTCCTCAGGCATTTTCCCCTCCCCTCTGAAACATGCACACATCACCCCTATACTTAAAAAGCCCTCCCTGGACCCCAATGACCCGAACAACCTCAGACCCATCTCCCTGCTCCCATTTACATCTGAACTCCTCGAGCGCCTCGTCTACACCCACCTATGCTCTCACCTCAACGACAACCACCTCCTCGATCCCCTACAGTCTGGCTTCCGTCCCCTACACTCCACCGAAACCGCCTTACTCAAACTCTCCAACGACCTGCTAACCGCCAAAGCTAATGGCCACTATTCAGTGCTCCTACTCCTTGACCTCTCTGCGGCCTTCGACACAGTCTACCACCCCCCCCTCCTCCTCAAAAAACTACACTCCCTCTCGGCCTCAGAGATTCTGCTCTCTCCTGGCTCTCATCCTACCTGTCACAACGCTCCTTCAGCGTTACCTATAATGCTACCACCTCCCCCTCACTCCCCCTCTCTGTTGGGGTCCCTGAAGGCTCTGTCCTTGGGCCCCTTCTCTTCTCCATCTACACCTCCTCCCTTGGCCAACTCATACACTCTCACGGCTTCAACTACCACCTCTATGCCGACGACACACAAATCTATCTCTCAACCCCCCACCTCACCCCCTCGGTCTCTGCCCGAATCACACACCTACTGAGCGACATATCAGACTGGATGTCGCTCCACTTCCATAAACTGAACCTCTCCAAAACCGAGTTTCTTGTCTTCCCCCCAGCCCGGACACCACCCCCCATTGACTTCTCCATCACACCCAACAACGCCACCATCAAACCCGCCCCGCAGGCCAGAGTACTTGGTGTCATTCTGGACTCCAACCTATCCTTCCAGCCCCAAGTCCAATCTTTAACTAACTCATGCAGACTCCACCTCCGCAACATCGCCAAAATACGCATGTTCCTAACCCCAGAAACCACTAAACAGCTCATCCACTCCCTCATCATATCACGACTCGACTACTGCAACTCCCTCCTCACTGGCCTGCCTCGCCGCTGGCTATCTCCGCTTCAGTCGATCCTGAATACGGCTGCCAGACTCATTCACCTTTCCAACCGCTCCTTTTCCGCCACCCCCCTCTGCCAATCCCTCCACTGGCTTCCGATTGCGCAACGGATCAAATTCAAAATCCTAACGCTGACGTACAAAGCTGTCCACCACACTGCCCCGAACTACATCACTGACCTAATATCCAAGTACCGCCCAGCACGCACACACTCCGCTCCTTCACAAGACCTCCTTCTCTCTAGTTCCCTGGTCTCCCTCCTCCCATGCCCGCCTCCAGGACTTCTCCAGGGTGCAACCATCCTCTGGAACTCCCTGCCCCAACCCATCAGATTATCACCTACTCTCCTCTCCTTTAGGCGCACCCTGAAAACCCATCTCTTCAGGGAAGCCTACCCCACCCCCTGCTAACTTGCTGACCTCCAACACTCTTCCTACCGCTCCATCCCCCACAGCTATCTCCTCCTGTACCACTATCCCCTCCCTCCTAGAGTGTAAGCTCGAAAGAGCAGGGCCCTCAATCCCCTCATGTTTTGCATTGTATTGGTATTGTTCTGTCACATGTTCTGTCCCCCTTTGTAATGTACAGCGCTGAGCGAACTATTGGCGCTTTATAAATACTGTATAATAATAATAATAATTATGCAATTATTATTATTATATAGCACCAACAGTTTGCGCAGTGCTTTACAATATAAAGGGAGACAGTACAATTACAATATATTTCAGTACAGAAGGACTTATGGAGCTTACAATCAAAAGGGCATTTAAATGTATCTGCAGTTTAGTTTTGGGCATCAATTCACAAAAAGAACATTGGGGAACTGGAGAAAGTACAGAGAAGGGCAACAAAACTGATAAGAGGCAAGGGAGGAGATCAGCTATGAGGAAAGATTAGAGGAACTGAATATATATCTCTCTCTTGAGATATGATCAGGATATTAAGGGGGGATATGATCACCATGTATAATACATAAGGGGGGATATGATCTCCATGTATAATACATAAGGGGGATATGAATGATCAACATGTATAATACATAAGGGGGGATATGATCACCATGTATAATACATAAGGGGGGATATGATCTCCATGTATAATACATAAGGGGGATATGATCACCATGTATAATACATAAGGGGGGATATGATCTCCATGTATAATACATAAGGGGGGATATGATCACCATGTATAATACATAAGGGGGATATGATCAACATGTATAATACATAAGGGGGGATATATGTATAATACATAAGGGGGATGATCAACATGTATAATACATAAGGGGGGATGATCACCATGTATAATACATAAGGGGGGATATGATCACCATGTATAATACATAAGGGGGATATGATCACCAAGGGGGGGATATGATCTCCATGTATAATACATAAGGGAGGGATATGATCTCCATGTATAATACATAAGGGGGGATATGATCTCCATGTATAATACATAAGGGGGGGATATGATCTCCATGTATAAAACATAAGGGGGGGATATGATCTCCATGTATAATACATAAGGGGGGGGGATATGATCTCCATGTATAATACATAAGGGGGGATATGATCACCATGTATAATACATAAGGGGGGATATAATCACCATGTATAATACATAAGGGGGGATCTCCATGTAATACATTAAGTATAAATACATCAGTGGTTCATATAATGAACTTGGTGTAGAGTTATTCACCCTGAGGTCATCACAGAGGACAAGGGGGCACTCTATGTCTGGAGGAAAAGAGATTTAATCTCCAAACACGGAAAGGTTTCTTCACAGTGAGAGCTGTGAAAATGTGGAATAGCCTCCCTGAAGAGTTGGTTCTGGCCAGCTCAGTGGATTGCTTTAAAAAAGTCCTGGATTCTTTCCTAGATACACAGAATATAACTGGATACTAACATTTATAGGTAAAGTTGATCCAGAGAATATCCGATTGCCTCTCGGGGGATCAGGAAGGTTTTTTTTTTCCCTGCAGCAGCAAATTGGATTATGCTTTGCTGGGTTTGGAAAACACTTCTGAACGATGGAAACTGACTGCTGGAAAACACGGGTTAAAAAATGTCTGTTTAGCCATGTTTGTATACTGCCTTTATGCACATTTATGTGCATTTGCATTTAGAAGATAACATCAGGAGACCTTCCAAAATGCCTAGAATGCACTGAAAAACAGTAAAAAAATGAACTATTTCAGACATTTTGAAAGAAATAGAGAGAGCAGAAGCAGAGAGAGAGCAGTATGTGTTGAGATGACCTGTCTTTTCTGGTTGTATTCACTATGGATCCCATCATGAGCATTATGCGGCACGTTCTGCCATTTTTTCCTTCACGCAAAATCTGGAACTGACTGCGCTGGTGTATCGGGTCCATTTGACTACATGGAAAACGCTTTACATGCATTTCTGATGATGAAAAAAGGCTCTGGACAGCATCTGGATATGGAACAGTTAAAAAACGCTTTTTAAATGCAAACGCTTATAAACGCAGTAAGCTGCCTTTATAAGCGTTTACAAGCATTTGGTGTTTGAAACACTGATAAAATCTACTCCTGAATGCAAGTTTGGTGCATTCAAAAAAATGACTGTAAACTCAACTGCCTGTAAACGATGATGTGTACATGGACACATAGGAAAACATTAGGGAGAGTTCAGGGGCTGCTGAAAAAAATGCAGAAAAGCTCCTGAATGTGAGTTTATCAGCTGCAGTGTACATGAGCCCTTACTATGTATCTGTGTATCTAGACAAAAGTATTTTACAAACCATTATGCAGGAACTTTTCTCCTAGAAAACATGTGTAATAACATCAGTAAAATGTTCAGGGCCATGTGAATAAAGCCTGACCACAACGGGAAACTCTCCAATAAAATATAGATGGCTTCTACTTACCGGCATACTCTCCAGCCACAGCCCAGGCACAGAGCAGAAGAAAGCTGACTCCTCTCATTCTCCGGTATAAGAAGTGTTGGCTCTCCTTTACTGGAGATCAGAATACACAGCCTACTTGTGCATGATTGCGCACCTCCAAATCTGATTCCTACCACCCCGATATGTCGCAGATACCAAGCTCAGCACTGTATTGCGCACACCGATATTCCTGGAAGTTTAAAGCTTTTGCTGCCTTGTTTCCTGTAATTGTAGTCGGTGGAGGGAGGGGAGAAGGCAGCTCAGCTTACACCCATTATCATATAACATAACCATGAATCAGACCATGCCTCTACATTGCTATTGGAAAGAAGCACGCAGGTGGTGCATGTACAGTTGTGTTCAAAATAATAGCTGTCAGACATCACTAACCTGATCAATCACTGTTTTTGGTAGAAATGATATTTCTACATGGCAGGTGTAGTAGAGTAATAGAAATCCAACAGACCCAACAGTCATGACATGCATGCTGCTGATTCTGTGTAATTGAATCACTAATTGAAAGGGGCATGTTCAAAATAATAGCAGTGTGGAGTTCTATTAGTGAGGTCATTCATTCTTTGAAAAACAGGTGGCAATTATTGCCCTTATTTAAGGAAGGAAGGCAGCAAATGTTGTACATGCTGGTTACAGTGCATTTCTCTCTGAAATTCTGAGTAAAATGGGTTGTTCCAGACATTGTTCAGAAGAACAGCGTACCTTGATTGAAAAGTTGATTGGAGAGGGGAAAACATATAAAGAAGTGCAGAAAATGATAGGCTGCTCAGCTAAAATGATCACAAATGCTTTAAAATGGCAACCAAAACCTGAAAGACATGGAAGAAAGCGAAAAACTACCATTCGAATGGATAGAAGAATAGCCAAAATGGCAAGGACTCAGCCAACAATCAGCTCCAGGAAGATGAAAGAAGGTGTGACGTTCCCTGTGAGGACTGTTACAATTAGAAGACACCTATGTGAAGCCAAGCTATCTGCAAGAAGCCCCCGCAAAGTCCCACTGTTGGAAAAAAGACGTGCTGAAGAGGTTACAATTTGCCAAAGAGCACATTGACTGACCTAAAGAGAAATGGCGCAACATTTTGTGGACTGACGACCCCCAAACACTGAATTCAAGCCACAGTACACTGTGAAGACAGTGAAGCATGGTGGTGCAAGCATCATGATATGGGGATGTTTCTCATACTACAGTGTTGGGCCTATTTATCGCATACCAGGGATCATGGATCAGTTTGAATACATCAGAATACTTGAAGAGGTCATGCTGCCTTATGCTGAAGAGGAAATGCCCTTGAAATGGGTGTTCCAACAAGACAACGACCCCAAACACACCAGTAAACATGCAACATCTTGGTTGCAGACCAACAAGATTGACGTTATGGAGTGGCCAGCCCAATCCCCGGATCTTAATCCAATAGAAAACTTGTGGGGTGACATCAAAATGCAGTTTCTGAGGCAAAACCAAGAAATAGAGAAGAACTGTGGAATGTAGTCCAATCATCCTGGGCTGGAATACCTGATCACAGGGGCCAGAAGTTGGGTGACTCCATGCAACACAGATGTACAGCAGTTCTCAGAAACAGTGCGACTACAACCAAATATTCATTAAGTGATTCAAAGGAAAGCAAAATCTTCAAACATTTTTCAGTTTATATAGTGAATGTTTGAGTTTGTAAAGAAGAATACAAACACTGCTATTTTTTTTAACAGTCTAATATTCACTTTACTTCAATTTTTTTAGAGGAACAACACAAATTTGATATATTTTTCTTCATGTTTTGATTTGGAATAGAATGTGTCGTGTTCCCAATGCATTTGTGTGTATGGAAATAAAAGCTATTAGAAGGATTTTGAGCTTTATTCACTTTTTTCAACACACTGCTATTATTTTGAACACAACTGTACCTAGTGCATTATCCAAGGTTTATTACAATTTTATGTTTGTTACCCTTTGCATGCTTGCAATCTAAATGTATTCCCCCTGTACAGATGCATTTCTATTATCTACAGTTAAGACATACGGTAATGGCCCGGCACTTTTCTCAGGACTTCTGCCTCTCCCCTACCCCTATTTTTCAATTGATGAAACAGGTTCCCTCCACTAAGGGCTTTATGTTGAATTGCTACAGAAAGAACAAATTGGCGCTGGGGGGGGACCACACGTGTGAAAATCTAAATAAGGTTAGTGATAAAATGCAGATAAAGCAGAGGAGATATAAGTATATAGAAAAATACAATGATAATGAGACTAAAAATTAATAGCGATAAGGAGAAAAAGTGACAAGCAAGACATAAAAGTCAATAGTCCAGGGGTCCTAGGTAAAGGATGATGGGTGAAGGTGAGGAGGTAAGCGGCGACTGCAGTCTGGACGGGGGTAATACAGACTGCAGCCGCTACTCACTTCCCGCTGTGCGACTATGCCCAAAACAGGAGGAGCAGCAGAGACGGCTCCTGAAGCCAAGCTGGAAGCACGGCTGAGACACGGACACCTCCTCGGCCGGCCGCTGCACTGAAGGGAGAACGGCGGCCTCTGTTCTTCAACCGAGGCCTTCAGCACACTGAGACAGGTCTGTAGCGGTGGTGAATGGGGCTGACTCTTTGCTGGAGGAGCTGTCTCTTTGCAGGAGGGGCTGTCTCTTTGCTAGACAGGCTGTCTTTCTGCTGGATGGGCTGTCTCTTTTCTGGAGGAGCTGTCTCTTTGCAGGAGGGGTTGTCTCTTTGCTGAAGCAGCTGTCTCTTTGCTGGAGGGGCTGTCTCTTTGCTGGAGGGGCTGTCTCGTTGCTGGATGAGCTGTCTCTTTGCTGGAGGGGCTGTATCTTTGCTGGAAGGGATGTCTCTTTGCTGGATGGGCTGTCTCTTTGCTGGAAGGGATGTCTCTTTGCTGGATGGGCTGTCTCTTTTCTGGAGGAGCTGTCTCTTTGCTGGAGAAGCTGTTTCTTTGCTGGAGGAGCTGTCTCTTTACTGGATGACTTGTCTCTTTGCTGGATGGGCTGTCTCTTTGCTGGATGGGCTTTTTCTTTGCTGGAATAGCTGTCTCTTTGCTGGATGAGCTGTCTCTTTGATGGAGGGGCTGTCTCTTTGCTGGATGGGCTGTCTCTTTTCTGGATTGGGCTGTCTCTTTGCTGGGCAGACTGTTTCTTTGCTGGATGGACTGTTTCTTTGCTGGAGGGGCTGTCTCTTTGCTGAATGGCTGTCTCTTTGCTGGACTGGGCTATCTCTTTGCTGGACTGGGCCATCTCTTTGCCTAGTTAGGTCCAGCAAAGAGACATCCCAATCCAGGAAAGAGACAGCCCAGTCCAAGAAGGGACATCCCCATCCAGCAATGAGACATCCCTGTCCAGCAAAGAGACATCCTGTCTTTGCTATATGGGGATGTCTCCTTGCTGGACAGGCTGTCTCTTTGCTGGATGGTCTGTCTCTTTGCTGGACTGGGCTGTCTCTTTGCCCTGCTGGGTCCAGCAAAGAGACATCCCAATCTAGCAAAGAGACAGCCAAGTCCAAGAAGGGACACCCCCATCCAGCCAAGAGACATCCCTGTTCAGCAAAGAGACAGCCCAATCCAGAAAAGAGACAGCCAAGTCCAAGAAGGGACACCCCCATCCAGCAAAGAGAAATCCCTGTCCAGCAAAAAGACATCCTGGATTGGGCCATCTCTTTGAATATATATGGGGCACTGTGATTAGATCATTAGGGGCACTGTAATGTAAAGGGGCACTGTGATATAAAGGGGACTGCGCTGTAAAGGGGCACTGTAATCAATACAGTGCCCCTTTACAGTGCAGCCCCCTTTATATCACAGTGCCCCTTTAAATTACAGTGCAGAGGACCGACTCTGTGAATATTCCATCAAAAAACTGCCCTTGCGAATGCCCTTGCATTGGGGCTACAGGCTACAGTATTGGAGATTAATTGCCAATGTGTCTGAGAGATGGTGTAGCTATCCAAACAATCTACCTATATATGTAATAGTCTAAACAATGCAAAAAAGAGTTTAGAAGATAAAAACATATTTATTTAGAAAAATAATTTTAAATACAGCTTTAAAAATGTAAAAAAAAATAAAGGATTAAATAAGTCAGAATAGAAAATGTTTAAGATAATTATATGACATAGTGACAATTTTTACTAAAATGGTTTTAAAATACTAAAACTATACAGTATATACAGTATAAATTAAAAAGACGTTTCAAGCAATATATAAATCAGAAAACTGGGACAATAACATAAAATCTAACATGGTAAAGTAGAAGTGAACTTTCAGGGCTAGTTCACACTAGATGCAGTTCAGTGCGCTTATTTTTCTTGCATCAAAAATGCATGCACAGTGTTTTCCATGTATTGCAATGGCCCTGGTTCACACCAGTGCAGTCAGTTTCCGGTGCAGAAAAATAAAGTAGAACATGCTGCAGTTTTTCTGCACAGAACCATACTGGACCATAGCAAACTGCACCGGAACTGCGTGTGGTGTGAACTGTAAGCAAAAACATATCCAGAGTTCATTTTTGTAGTGTGAACCGGCCCTCAGACATATCTCATCCGGATAGAAATTAGTGAGAGAATGAATATTGTACAAATATCAGTCCATCATGTCCTTAGGATGAATTCTGGGGTGGTCTTGCTCCTGCTGTCCCAGGTGGTTCTGGTTCTCCGAGTTGGACCCCTGATCCCATAACAAATTAATAGAGTTCAGTATCAGTTATCTATGAAGAAGCTAATCTGTTTCCTAGCGGTTCTCTTGATTGGCTATTCTTGACTTCTGTGGTGGATGCTTGACCTTCTTCAGGGCCATGGTTCACTATAATGGTGATGGCTCTCCATCACTCCCATCATGCCCTCTGGCTGAATTCTGGGGTGGTATTGCTCCTGCTGATCCCGCTGGTTCTGGTTCTCTAGGTTGGCCTCCTGGCCTTCTCCTGGGTTCTGCTCCATGGTGATGGCTCTCCATCACTCCCATCATGCCCTCTGGATGAATTCTGGGGTGGTCTTGTTCCTGCTGTTCCCGGTGGTTCTGGTTCTCTGGGTTGGACCCCTGACCTTCTCCTGGACTCTGCTCCATGGTGATGGTGATGGTTCTGTCTTTGGCAGCGGGCAGTGCCAGGCAATGTGCCCAGAAGTGGAGTCGCCCATCCTTGGACATGGAGCACAGCACGTCCTCGGGATTCACGTCTTCCGGGAGCTCGGCTTCTCTGCGCCACTCTTTGTATTCCTGGAAGAAGCCACCATTCTCCATCTCTCTTTTCTTGTCGGATTTTCCCGCCACGATCAGTCTCCTTCCTTCTGTCCTCACTGTCAGTTCTTCTGGAGAAAAGGGACTCACGTCCAGGGAAAGCTCAAAGTTCTCCTTCCCGTCTTTGCCCTCGGTGGGGAATTTGTCTTGGGGGGCAGCGGGGTGTCCACTCTGATCCGCCCCCCTTCCTGATGTCCGGCTCATTGGCCAGGAGCTGGTGAGCCTGGTGGGGGGGCGCTGCATTCTCCTCTCCATGTCGCTGCTCACGCTCAGCATGTCGTCTTCCAGCTGGCGGAGGATGAGGAGTGTGGTGGTCCAGTGGGGGAGCTCGGGCTGGCGGTAGACATACACAGGGCTGTGTGAGGACTGGAGGAGGCTGAGAGGGAACATGTCGCTCTGCTGCTGCTTTTCTTGGAGCTTCTTGTCACCGTTCAGCTGAAGGACGTCTGCCTGTGTGTCAGCGTCTGCTCTCTGCTGCTGCTCTCTGTACTGCAACCTCTCCCAGCCCGGCTCCTTTTATACTGCCTGAGCCACTTCTGGATGCCTCCATGTGCTCTCCATATATGGAGCCAGGGGAGGGGCCAGAGGGACATCATGAATAATGCAAGGCGGGGCCAGGAACTTCTGAGTGAGGGCTGGAATTCTGTAGTCTGTGCTGGAGATTGCTGGAGAGTTCTGAGATAGGAGGAGGAGTAGGAGGGGCCAACCTAACCCTGAAGAATTACAACACTAGTGGGCGGGACCAAGGTGACAACTGGAGATTGCCAGAGAATTCTTTATACTACGTAGATCTTCACTCTATTCATCTGCACTTTATTGTTTTATTATGTCATCCCAGTGTTCTCTGTAGTTGTATGTTTCTGGAAGACACACTCAGCCAAACATTATAGAATTACTTTTTTAAAATGTAATTTTACTTTGCTCTTTTGCATTTGTGTTTTACTGCAAGTGTATCTAAATACAAATACTAATATATTGCAGTTTGCCAATCTTTAACACTAGTGGGCGGGACCAAGGTGACAACTGGAGACTGTCAGAGAATTCTACATTATTATTATTATTATACAGTATTTATAAAGCGCCAATAGTTCGCTCAGCGCTGTACATTACAAAGGGGGACAGAACATGTGACAGAACAATACAATACAATGCAAAACATGAGGGGATCGAGGGCCCTGCTCTTTCGAGCTTACAATCTAGGAGGGAGGGGATAGTGGTACAGGAGGAGATAGCTGTGGGGGATGGAGTGGTAGGAAGAGTGGAGGAGGTCGGCAAGTTAGCAGGGGGTGGGGTAGGCTTCCCTGAAGAGATGGGTTTTCAGGGTGCCCCTAAAGGAGAGGAGAGTAGGTGATAATCTGATGGGTTGGGGCAGGGAGTTCCAGAGGATGGGTGACACCCTGGAGAAGTCCTGGAGGCGGGCATGGGAGGAGGAGACCAGGGAACTAGAGAGAAGGAGGTCTTGTGAGGAGCGGAGTGTGCGTGCTGGGTGGTACTTAGATATTAGGTCAGTGATGTAGTTCGGGGCAGTATGGTGGACAGCTTTGTACGTCAGCGTTAGGATTTTGAATTTTATCTGTTGCGCAATCGGAAGCCAGTGGAGGGATTGGCAGAGGGAGGTGGCGGAAACGGAGCGGTTGGAAAGGTGAATGAGTCTGGCAGCTGTATTCAGGATCAACTGAAGCGGGGATAGCCAGCGGCGAGGCAGGCCAGTGAGGAGGGAGTTGCAGTAGTCAACATAGATCTTCACTCTATTCTTCTGTACTTTATTGTTCTGTTATATCATCATCCACATTATAGAACTACTATTTTATAATGTAGTTTTATTTTGCCACTTTTACAATTTGTGTTTTATTTAAAGTTTACCTAAATCAAAAAACAAAATAGCAATATATTGCAGTTTACCAGTCTTTAGATGTGGTGGTTGCATTCATTTTTTTTTTTTTCTTTTTTTTTTTAGGTTTTTGTTCTCTTTGTTTTCACCTGCCGGGTGACACCGTTACTCGGGTGACACCTCTAACTGTACTGTATGGAGAAGCAGCATTATGACCCTAGGACAGGAACTGTGATTATGCGGAACTAAACATTTGCTGTTACATACTGTGAGCAGGCAGGCTTTTTATTGTAGATGGGACCTGCAATGTTCCTTCTGCAATAAACTACACTTGCTATACCTGCCTGCTCACAGTGATCCCTGGAATATAATCTGAGCTGCCCATGTGCATCTCACTTTACAGCAGCACACAAATCCCTGTGTGCCAGAATGACTAGATCCTGCTCATGCACAACTGTGATATCATCTCATGCCAGACATTAAAGATGGATGAAAAACAGTACACAGAAGAGGATGCAGACACAAGTGAGGGATTGTTGGAAAGGTGAGTATTGATCCCTATCGATAGTTCCTCATCAGACAACAGAACACCTCCCTCATTCATCATCTCCATACCTTTTACTACATATGAACTTCAGGTTCGGATTAGAAAGCAGCTGGTCCACAGCTCAGTGAAGCCCAGACAAATTGCCTATATTTGGTAGACGTGCAGTTTGTTTCATTCCGAATCAAAATTCGGACAAATTTCTCTCTATTCGGAGATTCGGATATATCTGAATTCCAAATTACAATAGTAACGAATTTAAACGAATCTAAAATAACGAAATGAAATTCAGCCGAAACAACTCAAATTTGAAAACAAGAATAGAACAAAATAGAACAGAAAATAAAGACATAGAAAAGAATAGAAAATAAAGAATAGAATGGAATAGAAATTTTAGAATAGAATTTAAAGCGGAGTTCCACTCGCCTGTCAAAAAATAAAACTCAGCAGCTACAAAAACTGTAGCTGCTGACTTTTAAAAAACAGCCACTTACCTGTCCCTCGGTCCCGTGATGTGTCCCCTGCAGCCCGTTTCACCGGCCGTCCTATATTCCAGGAGGGTGGTATCTTCAGTATGGGAACCCAGCTGTGATAGCTTGCGGCTTCACAGCCAGTTACCCAGTGCGCATGTGTGAGAAGCGCTGCGCTTCATGAATGGTCCTGTAGTCTTCTGGGACCTGTCACGTGTCCCAAAAGACTACAGGGAGGGAGGACACCTTCTGTTTCCAATAGAGGCGGAAGTGGGAGCGGGTACCTGTCAAATTTGGGTACCCGCTCCCCCCCACCCCCCAAAGGTGCCAATCCTTAATGAGGAGCGATGGAGCAGTCCTTAAAGCGGAACTTCCCCTTTTGGGTGGAGCTCCGCTTTAAGGAACAACCCCACACCAAAATTAAAAAAAAAAAAATGGCCCTTAGGCTCAGTTCACACTAGCTTAGCAGGCATTAGACAGGCATTTTGGGAAGTGTTTTTAATGCTCCTCAAACACCTATGAAAGTTCTACACATGGCAGCACACAGTACTGTTCATACTGAAGCATTAGCGTCGTGGCAAAATTGACACCTCATGTGGAGTCAGGAGTCAGGAGGACTTGAAGCTTCCCATTCAAGTCTATGGTGATGCTCCTCAAATGCCTGGCAGGCGTTTGCGGGGTGTTTGTGAGGCTTTGGCAGCGTTAATACCATTAAACTTCATTGTAGGCGTTTGTGGGTGCTGTTTTAACGCTTGGCAAATGCCTATAAAATGCCTCAAAAAACATTTATAGGGCATTTGGGGAGTGTTAAAAATGCTTCCCAAATGCCTGTCAAACGCTATAGAGGCGTTTGGCAAGAGTTAAAAATTAGTTAAGTGTGAACAAGCCCTTAAGTCTGGAATAGATATTGGGGCAACCCCACACCAAATGAAAAACAAAATGGCATACAGGGGGACCCCACGCCAATTTTCTTTAAATTTTGACGTGGGGTTCCCCTTAATATCTATACCCTGGCGATAAATATTGCATATTTCTTTTTTACTTGCTGTTCTGTTTGTGAATTGGACTTAACAGCTTACCGCATGTTTTTTTTAGAATTTTCCGACACATTTTTTAATTTTGCGTTAAATACCGTAGAATTGTTATTTTTTTTGTGTGAATTGGACATTTTGTTACTGCATGCGATCATTTATGCAAACGAGTCACGTGACAGTGTATTGCATGTGTAATCTTTAGTGATTTGACTCCATTGTCTGTTTTGATTTGTATGAAGCCGTACAATAAATTATATGAGATGTAAATCATATGAGATGTTTGTATTCTGTGTAGATCTGTAAGGGAAATGGTCTTGACTAGAGGATGATGTTGCGTATAATACGGACATCAAATATAAATTATGAATATTAAAGTGGAACTCCAGCAAAACCTTTTTTGCATTTAAAGGGGAAAATCTGTAAGGTTTTTGTTGCCTCGTTTGACTATATTGTGCACATTTCTCCTCTCTGTCTTCTCCAGGAAGGTTTGTTTCCGGGATAGAAAGTGAGGGCACCCAGACACTAATAAAACCTGACAGTTTCCAACCCTTGCCCGAAACAATAAAACAAAAGTTCTGTCTGAAATTCCACTTCAGCCACTTGTGTACCAGTCTGTATATACCCTTCATTAGCAGGACACTTTTCGGTTTTTATGGCTGTTATAGTTTGACATTTGCTTGGTCTTTCAGCACTGTACCAAAATGAATATATATAATTTTTGAAAAAAACACAGAGCTTTCTTTAGTGATATTTAAAGCTGAACTCCACCCAAAACGGGAAGTTCCGCTTTAACGATTGCTCCCCCACTCCCCATTAAGGATTGGTACCTCTGGGGGGTGGAGGGGCGGGTACCCGAATTTGACAGGTACCCGCTCCCACTTTCAGTCCAATCGTGTAGGCGATCGGAAGCGGAAGGTGTCCTCCCTCCTGTAGTCTTTTGGGACACGTGACAGGTCCCAGAAGACTACAGGACCATTCATGAAGCGCAGCGCTTCTCGCGCATGCGCAGAGGGTACCCGGCTGTGAAGCCGCAAGCTATCACAGCCGGGTACCCACACTGAAGATGCCAGCACCTGGAATACAGGACGGCCAGTGAAACGGGCTGCGGGGGACACACCGAGGGACAGTAAGTGGCTGTTTTTTAAAAGTCAGCAGCTACAGTTTTTGTAGCTGCTAACTTTTATTTTTTACAGGGTGAGTGGAACTCCGCTTTAATAAACCCAGGCTTTTCATTTTTTACTGTATAAGTGAAAAATATTTGGAAAAAAAGTTTCTTTTAAGTTTCCCTTATATAATTATATATATATATATATATATATATATATATATATATATATATATATGAAAAAAAAACATAGCAGGAGTGCACTAGATACAACGTATCATTAATGTACAAGTCATACACCAAAGGAGGAGGGGGTGAAGGGGCTAATGTACAGGTCACATACAGTGCAAGGATGGAGGTGAAGGGGTTAATGTGCAGGATAAGGGAGGTGAAGGGGTTAATATACAGGTCGGTACAGAGACAAGTTTGCAGGGCATGCTGAGACTTGTAGTTCCACCGCATGGCGCTATATTTCAGATTCATTCTAAATATATAAACATTTAACAATCTATAACTTATGAGTACACTGGAATAATCGCTCATCGTTCGGAGAGATTATCTCACTGTTCGGTTTTATTTTTTCATTGCCTGCGGGGCTCTTCCATAACATGACTATTAATAGCACACAGAAAGATCAAGGAAGATTCTAGCTGGCCCTTGGTCCCGCCCACTGGGGAGGTACTCCCCAACTCCAACTATGCCAGCCCTGCTTGCTCTCCCTCTTCATGTATTATTCATTATTTACATGCAGACTCCTCCCCTTCACTACAGATATACAGAGAGCACATGGCTAGGGGGGCAGATCTTAGCTGCATTGATGTTAACCCTGTAAAGTCTGGAATAGAAGGCTGGATAGTGATTTACGAACAATTGTGAACTTATGAACTCTAGATAATGCTTTATGAACAGTTACAGCAACAGATTTATTTTTATTTTTTTTTTTTTTTTAGTTTTGGGATAAAGGTTTTACATAAATGAATAAAAGCTGATGATTGTAAGTACCCCTATTGACTGACTGTATCATATGGTATTTGTCTTTTTTGATTTTGCCCAGAGTTCCCCATTCACTCTCTCTATAATGTATCTTATCTATAAAAGACATGCAGAATCAGGAATGGAAACTGGAAACAAAGGAAACTGGAACAACATGCCTCCAAAAGCAGCCAATCAGAGTTCTTATTAGCCCGGGTTCACATATATGCGGTGCGGCATATCGCATGTGATTCGCACAGGAACCGCATTTCGATTTGTGCGCGGTGCGATTGGAGCCATACATTTTGAATGGCTCTAATCGCACCGCATCCGCACCAAAAAGGTGCATGACCCTTTTTTGGTCCGCACTAGAATCGGATCACATGGGTATTCACACCTATGCAATTTGATTCTGCATATCGCACCGCATTTTGCGGAACGTGTTCAGCGTGTTGTTATCATACACACTCGCAGCGGTTCGCATGAAAGGGGAGCGATTCTGATGCGGTGCAGAATTTGCACAGAAAACGCTGCAAATTCCGCACTGCATCAGTGTAAACCAGGGCTTACAAAGGGATCTAGAAATCTGACCGGATGCTAAGGATGCAGCTTCAGTTTATATTCCTCTTCATTCTTTAAACCAACAATTAGGAGATTTCTAATTTAAAAAAAATAAAAATTCTGGTCCGTGCAAACAACAACAAAAGGTAGATATAAAATGAAAATATTTATTTGGAAAACAGTATACAGTATAAATTAAAAAGTGTTTCAAGTAATATAAAAATCAGGAAACTGGAACAATAACATAAAATCTAGCATGGAAAAGTAGAAGTGAACTTTCAGCCATATCTCATCCGGAGAGAAATTAGTGAAAGAGAATCTATTAATATTTTACAAATCTCAGTCCCATGTCCTCAGGATGAATTCTGGGGGGGGGGTCTTGCTCCTGCTGTCCTTGGTGGTTCTGGTTCTCCGCAAAGCCCACCAGAAAACAGATTCTGCTCTTGTCCTATATAGAGAGTGAAACATTGTTACGGGGATTATAGGCAGAAGGGAGTTTTCCAATTGGCTGAAAATACAGGCTACTGTCCATAAAACCAAAATAAAGGAGTCTGGGAGTAGAAGGAAAGCATTAGGAAATGATCCTGTAACAAATTATGAGTTCAATATCAGTTCTTTATGAAGAAGCTAATCTGTTTTCTTGCGGTTCTGTTGATTGGCTATTCTTGACTTCTGTGGTGCATCCTTGACCTTCTTCAGGGACATGCTTCACTATAATGGTGATGGTTCTCCATCACTCCCATCATGCCCTCTGGATGAATTCTGGGGTGGTATTGCTCCTGCTGTTCCCGGTGGTTCTGGTTCTCTAGGTTGGCCTCCTGGCCTGCTCCTGGGTTCTGCTCCATGGTGATGGCTCTCCATCACTCCCATCATGCCCTCTGGATGAATTCTGGGGTCTTCTTGCTCCTGCTGTTCCCGGTGTTTCTGGTTCTCTGGGTTGGACCCCTGTCCTTCTCCTGGACTCTGCTCTATGGTGATGGTTCTGTCTTTGGCAGAGGTCAGTGCCAGGCGATGCGCCCAGAAGTGGAGTCGCCCATCCTTGGACATGGAGCACAGCACGTCCTCGGGATTCACGTCTTCCGGGAGCTCGGCTTCTCTGCGCCACTCTCTGTATTCCTGGAAGAAGCCGCCATTCTCTGTCTCCCTTTTCTTGTCGGATTTTCCCGCCACGATCAGTCTCCTTCCTTCTGTCTTCACTGTCAGTTCTTCTGGAGAAAATGGACTCACGTCCAGGGAAAGCTCAAAGTTCTCCTTCCCGTCTTTGCCCTCGGCAGGGGATTTGTTTTGGGGGGTGGCAGGGTGTCCACTCTGTGCCATCCTCCCCCTCCTGATGTCCGGGTCATTGGCCAGGAGCTGGTGAGCCTGGTGGGGGCGCTGCATTCTCCTCTCCATGTCGCTGCTCACGCTCAGCATGTCGTCTTCCAGCTGGCGGAGGATGAGGAGTGTGGTGGTCCAGTGGGGGAGCTCGGGCTGGCGGTAGACATACACAGGACTGTGCGAGGACTGGAGGAGGCTGAGAGGGAACATGTCGCTCTGCTGCTGCTTTTCTTGGAGCTTCTTGTCACCGTTCAGCTGAAGGACGTCTGCCTGTGTGTCAGCGTCTGCTCTCTGCTGCTGCTCTCTGTACTGCAACCTCTCCCAGCCCGGCTCCTTTTATACTGCCTGAGCCACTTCTGGATGCCTCCATGTGCTCTCCATATATGGAGCCAGGGGAGGGGCCTGGGGGACATCATGAATAATACAAGGCGGGGTCAGGAACTTCTGAGTGATGGCTGGAATTCTGTAGTCTGTGCTGGAGATTGCTGGAGAGTTCTGAGATAGGAGGAGAAGTAGGAGGGGCCAACCTAAACTTGGAGGATTACAACACTAGTGGGCGGGACCAAGGTGACAACTGGAGATTGCCAGAGAATTCTTTATACTACGTAGATCTTCACTCTATTCATCTGTACTTTATTGTTTTATTATGTCATCCCAGTCTTCTCTGTAGTTGTATGTTTCTGGAAGACACACTCAGCCAAACATTATAGAATTACTTTTTTTAAAATGTAATTTCACTTTGCTGCTTTTGTATTTGTGTTTTTATTGCAAGTGTATCTAAATACAAATACTAATATATTGCAGTTTACCAGTCTTTAGATGAGGCAAATGCATTAATTTTCTTTTTTTTTATATTTTTGTTCCCTTTATATTCACCTGCTGACCCCCCACACACACTTCCTGTCCTCGGGTGACAACGTTCACTGTGTTGAGTCGGGTTAGGGGGTCCCCAAATGGGACCTTTCAGATGAGATAGTGAGTCCAAATTGTTAAAGAAAGGTGCATTTATTACACTGCAGTGGAGATAATATAGCATACAGAAGTTCACCTCGTGTCAGGTTGACTAAGGTCATCAATATATCTAAACTATTAAGCTTTAAACTGATATATATATATATAATCATAAAGTCCAGATGTGCCATATAAAGTCCGGGCGTGCCGTATAAAGTCCAATCGTGCCGTATAAAGTCCAGGCGTGCCGTATAAAGTCCAGGCGTGCCGTATAAAGTCCAATCGTGTCGTATAAAGTCCAGGCGTGTCGTATAAAGTCCAGGCGTGTCGTGTAAAGTCCAGGCGTGTCGTATAAAGTCCAGGCGTGCCCTATAAAGTCCAGACGTGCCGTATAAAGTCCAGGCGTGCCGTATAAAGTCCAGGCGTGCCGTAAAAAGTCCAATCGTGCCGTCTAAAGTCCAGGCGTGCCGTATAAAGTCCAATCGTGCCGTATAAAGTCCAATCGTGACGTATAAAGTCCAGGTGTGCCCTATAAAGTCCAGTCGTGCCGTATAAAGTCCAATCGTGACGTATAAAGTCCAATCGTGACGTATAAAGTCCAGGCGTGCCGTATAAAGTCCAGTGCGTAAAGTCGTATAAAGTCCAGGCGTGCCGTATAAAGTCCAGGCGTGCCGTATAAAGTCCAGACGTGCCGTATAAAGTCCAGGCGTAAAAAGTCCAGGCGTGCCGTATAAAGTCCAGGCGTGCCGTATAAAGTCCAGGCGTGCCGTAAAAAGTCCAATCGTGCCGTCTAAAGTCCAGGCGTGCCGTATAAAGTCCAATCGTGCCGTATAAAGTCCAATCGTGACGTATAAAGTCCAGGCGTGCCCTATAAAGTCCAGTCGTGCCGTATAAAGTCCAATCGTGACGTATAAAGTCCAATCATGACGTATAAAGTCCAATCGTGACGTATAAAGTCCAATCGTGACGTATAAAGTCCAATCGTGACGTATAAAGTCCAGGCGTGCCCTATAAAGTCCAACGTGCCCTATAAAGTCCAGGCGTGCCGTATAAAGCCGTATAAAGTCCAGGCGTGCCGTATAAAGTCCAGGCGTGCCGTAAAAAAAGTATAAATCGTGCCGTCTAAAGTCCGGGCGTGCCGTATAAAGTCCAATCGTGCCGTATAAAGTCCAATCGTGACGTATAAAGTCCAATTGTGCCCGTATAAAGTCCAGTCGTGCCGTATAAAGTCCAGGCGTGACGTATAAAGTCCATCGTGACGTATAAAGTCCAGGCGTGCCGTATAAAGTCCAATCGTGACGTATAAAGTCCAGGCGTGCCGTATAAAGTCCAATCGTGACGTATAAAGTCCAGGCGTGGCCGTATAAAGTCCAGGCGTGCCGTATAAAGTCCAGTCGTGCCGTATAAAGTCCAATCGTGCCGTATAAAGTCCAATCGTGCCGTTTAAAGTCCAGGCGTGCCGTATAAAGTCCAGGCGTGCCGTATAAAGTCCAATCGTGCCGTCTAAAGTCCAGGCGTGCCGTATAAAGTCCAGGCGTGCCGTATAAAGTCCAGGCGTGCCGTATAAAGTCCAGGCGTGCCGTATAAAGTCCAGGCGTGTCGTATAAAGTCCAGGCGTGCCGTATAAAGTCCAATCGTGCCGTATAAAGTCCAGGCGTGCCGTATAAAGTCCAATCGTGCCGTATAAAGTCCAGGCGTGCCGTATAAAGTCCAATCGTGCCGTATAAAGTCCAGGCGTGCCGTATAAAGTCCAGAATCGTGCCGTATAAAGTCCAGGCGTGCCGTATAAAGTTCAGGCGTGTCGTATAAAGTCCAGCCGTCCTGTATAAAGTCCAATTGTGCCGTATAAAGTTCAGGCGTGCCGTATAAAGTCCAGGCGTATAGAGTCCAGGCGTATAAAGTCCAGGCGTATAGAGTCCAGGCGTATAAAGTCCAGGCGTGATTGTATAGTTTTAGTCCAATCAGATCTGTATATGCGTAACAGCAAGCTTAGAGTTAAATGGGTGTCAACATCATGTGACTTGTCCAAAATGGGAACCTGTGGTCATCCGCCATGACAGTTACTGGTTCAACACCCCTCAGTGTCACTAAGTGTAGGTCAATTTAGTTTGGCTCCTTTGTAGGCAGAGAAGAAGGGGTTAATTGTTGCAGTGCTTCAAGGCTGTGGCTCTGTTATCTCCCACTGGCTTCCAGAATTCACTGGATAGTTCTAGAACTTAGAGGATGGAGGAAACACAGCCTGAATATTTATGGAGATTCCACCAATCCCTGAGGGTGGCCAGTCTGGTGGGGGACCCTTGCTGCGGGGCTGTACCGCTGGGCAGAAGGAAGACAAGAAGAAAGAGAAAGAAGGAGCATCTGGAATCCAGTTTACCAGCCTCAGCTCGGCTTAGCTGTAGAGACTCTGAAATCAGGTCCAGGTTCATACAGCCTCTTGGATTCCAGGATTAATGCAGGCCATACAAGGGTTGAATTCTGAACGAATTTTCTTTAGAAAATCGGAAATTTTGCACATTCTGTAATCCGATGGTACCGCCACTGTTTTTGAAATTCGACCATCCAAGCCTTTCGTTTCACCTCATGTTACTACAGAAAATCATTTTCTTGGCCAAGAATTTTCGTTTCTTTCCAGGTGCAATGGACACAGCCAGGGACAGATCATATGACGTCCACCTGGATCAAAGAAAGTGCCGCCCGGCTGTCATTTTACTATAGGCCGTATGGAAATGGATTAAAGAACTCCAGCTTAGACTAGTCCTTTAGGACTTGTGCACATGGACATCCAGGGGGTGCTAAAAGCAGGCAGTTGAGACATGGTTTTACTGCGTCACCCAACCACCCTCCTAATCACAGAAATGCAGCCATTCAGGGCTGTACCCTTGCCATGACCATATAACATAGTTTTATTACCTGTAGAGCCATTGCTTTAGCACTTCCTGTAAGTGGGTGACAACACTTTTTTTGTTCTGTCATGAAATCGCACAGCATCCTGTGGACAGGTTAGTCCTAGATGAAAGGAAGATGCAATAAAGATGTGCCAAAATGAAGGGCGAACTCTCACTGGAGCTGGCTGCGGGGAAAAGCCTTCTGTCCCTTTTACATGATGATTGTGCTTTATACAGTTCCAATAAATATGTCTGCAAGAGAGTTAAGCTGTCCATACACATCACAATTGGTTTGTATGATCTCCTTTAAGAAGTCTACACAAGTTACAATCTGACCATACAATCTCCATATAATCAACTTTAGATTTACCAAAACTGTCATAAGAGGGCCAACCTAATCTATCTAATTTATTGTTATCCAATCAGGCAAGCCCTTCTATCTGCTTGTACAATTTCTGTGCCATCTGCTTCAGAGTTACCAAAACTATGTAATATGAGGTCAAGCCTAATAAACCTATTAAATCAGGTACATCCTTGTACTATGTAGCTGATGGTAGATCTAAAAGAGCTTGTATAGCAGGGGCGGACTGACCATTTGGAAACGCGGACACTGCCCGAGGGCCGGGATCAGTAGGGGGCCCCATGAGCTGCCCTGGTACCTTTTTCATAGGCTTTTTTGAGTTTGGGCAAGGACACAGGGGCCCCATGATCCCCTATTGCCCTGGGGGGCCCCATGAGATGTCAGTCTGCCCCTGATTCAGAGTGTCCTTTCTTTCCACTGCCTCATTCCTCTGTTATCTGCATGAGTCACTTCTGATGAGTTTTCCTGAAACCAAGAGGAAAATTGTGACAGGGGAGGGCACAGCCTGTGATTGACAGCCTCAGCTCTGTTCCTGTGTGCTGTGTGAAAAGGGGTGTGTCCCTTCTCTCCAATCAACTCTCAGAGCTCTCCTCATTGATTGTAACTTCAGCTCCCCGACCCCTGCTTTTCAGAGCTGTGAGATCCTGTGTAAATTCTGCACTTTGAATGGATGTAGAGGACAGGTGGCTGTAGATACACAGGTACAACTTATGACGGTGGATTTGTTTAATCTCTGTGTATAACCTGAGGCCAGTTACTTCACTGGGTTATATGTAAGGGTTTGCAACCACTTTAAGCCTACCACAAATGTTACAATCTGATTGTACAATCTTCTTTAGATCTATCAACAAGTATGTAGTGCAGCGGGCTGCTTGACTGGATACAGATTGATTGGCTAGTGTAAGTAGGGCCTCATATTATGTGGTTTTGATAGATCTAAGGTTCACTATAGAGAGTATTCTGACAGCTGACAGCACCAGACGTCAGGATACAAAAGAGCGGGAGATTCATCC